GTTTATTCTGTGGGTGCAGGCTAAAATAACATCACAGTCTATGGCTGGTTTTTTGTTAATTTTCTACCGTGAGCTGAGCCAACTACTCCCGCGTATATCAATGTTTGGCGGTTACTTCCAAAAAACTTATCGGCTGACTTCGTGGTACGTTTGTGTGTTGCTTTTAAAAGTAACTAAAGGTTATTTGTAAATAAACTGTCGAACCTCCTCTTTTATATATATTTATCTTATTCCAGCTGACCTCTGTGCGTCTTAATTTGACACGCCAAATCGTTTCAAGCCACTGAATAAAAGACGTTTCCTCAAGAGTAGTATATATCATGAGCCATTTTGGGATTTAAATTTCATTCGTTCGCATGAAAATCGTTGCGCTAACTCTGCTTTGCCAACGCGCGCTAGTGGGCACTCTATTTGGAAGTGATGGTATGCAAACTAACTAACTTAGTCACTTCGTATAAGTAGTAAAATGTACAGAGCAACTGAAATCGCCAACGCTGTCACAAATCAGACAGATTTAATAAACTTGCGTATTTGCTGTAATCAAGGGAAGCATAGGATCATCGATCAAATATTAGTGTCAAACGACGTATTTACTCAAATTTCGCTGCCCCAAATTGCGACGGGGTGATTGGTAATATATTTTGGCACTTATTCGACATGAACCAAGTTTAAATTCCGGTTATGCACTACTGATGAGCTGACCAAAAGTGACATTTTCGTTAAGCTGCTTTTTGGTGGACTAACCAGTGCGGGGAGAGGGTTGCTTAAACGGAATTAATTGTGACACGTGTTCAAGCATAATGGTTTAAATGGACCGCGAGTAATCGCTTAGTTTTTTGTTACTGACTTTGGCTGTCAGTTTTCAGAATGTAACAGTTTTGTTGCAACAGTGTTCCTAGCGTCAAAAAAGCTCCACCTCTGCGAAGTCAGCTCCACATCACTGATCAAGCACGTTGGTTCTTACACTTGAACATTCAGTGTAAATTAGTCGCCGATTATTCCTGATATTGCTACACACAGTTAATTCTGTGGAAAGTTATTTGAACTGAACAATTAGACCACAAGTGTTGAGTGGATACGCCGATTGGTTTAGTGTTCGGTGCATCCGGTGTGCACCAGAGTGTCTGGAATTAAACCTGTTCATCTAAAGAATAAGGCGCAAATATTCCATTTTACCCACCGGGCAGTTAGGATTAATCAGTAAGTTCAGTCGAAATTTGACTTGTTATTGGATTACATGATAATCTTGCTTGTGCATGTAAGTTTTATCTAGATGCACCTGATAGTTGTCAAGGTGAGTTCATATGAGCCTCCCAAAAACAGAAACAAATAACAGTCGGGAAAATTCTCAGGAAAAAATTTCTCCTCATAGATAGAAGTCACGCCCGAGAATCAATCGATACTGTCACCCACAGTGTCCTCCGTCGCACGGTAACAAAGCCATTGATGTCATAAAGGCGTGATATCATGCTATCTTCCACGCACAAGTGTTTAATGTGTACCATTTTAGAAATGTGAATACAAACTAATATAAGCAATTTGAAGATAGTCAATTAGAATAACAGGTCCGGAAACGGCTTATGATATATTTGGAACTGTTTAAAACCTGCTAATCAATGACGAGATCTGGGAATTCACACCCAAATAATCGAAAAGCAAGCAAACCATGTCGTTTGTTCTACCTGCTACAGATATCACACATGCGTTTAACTACCTGACGCAACGAAAATCAGTCGTAACAACTGATTGCTTATTGTAGATAGTTGTGATCCTTGTAAATTTTTTATTGATTCACAATGTTAGGTGGTTTGTGTACGGAGGTTGTTCAACATTGGTTTTATTTTACCTGGTTTTCGCTAGTAGTGATAATTTACATCTAGTAGCTTTCAAGTGGTATCCGTCAAATGACAAACCAGTTTGCTTCATCGGAAGAAAAAATGCTTAATCAGTGAACAACCCAACGATTACCAACAGGAAGGCTGGTGCCATTCTAAGTAAAAATTTTTCAGCTTCATGTCTACACTGAGTACTAGAAGTTTTTTCAATTTCGCTTGAAATCCTGTGGGCATCATGTTTTCATAGCGATTTTAAATTGCCATCTACGCTCTGAGAACCACGCGTTACAAGTGCATCGCTGTCAGCGTGCGGGACATTCACGCCTTTGTTCAGGGAGCAGGGGACAGTGAGCCTAGGGACAGTGAGCAGACATAATCGCTCCCCCAATCTTAACTGTCCTGCTTTGTTTTTGATCACTTACAAAGTCATTCGTTCCTACAAAATCTACTGCTCATCCACATTGAAAATTTAAAAAAAGCTTTTAACAGCTCCTGGGCACAATATACCTCTCTCATTTGTGCCGACCCATTCCCAAAAAAATAACTACCTTGATGAAGCTGATAGTGCAGCGCTAATGGAAAGAGATTGAGTTTGCATGCAAAACTGACGCAGAGTTTTCGAAAGCCAAATGCTTAAGTGCAGTGAAGTAGCTGCTAGGATTACCTGATGACATATCCCAAGATGTCGCCTGGATAAAAATACTGTTTTTAGCACTATAGACGCGCACAATGCCCATTACCGCGCATTGAAAAGGGTGGAACACTTACCCAAACGCCTGTCCCGTTAGAGTAACTTGAGAATTCAAGCAAACATAACTACGGCGTCAAAGGTCAAATTGATTGCTTGTATGCAAACTTTCACAATAATTGCGGGAACATTTGGATATATGATGCGTTTCAAGTTGCCTGAAACTCAGTTTTGTTTTTGTAACTCTCTCGCTCATGGGAAATTTTGTAAATTCTCCTTGAACGGATTGTCCTTTTATGCGACCAGCCTCAATGTGTGGCGAAAAATCGGGTTAAAGGTCAGAAATTGAAATCGTTATCAAAGATTGACCCTAATCTTCACTAGGCGGGTAGAGCTTTGTGAACAACGCTAAAGAATAAAGGAGTATTCTACTCAATTTAGCCTCACTGGAATGAATTGGACTTAAATCTCCTGAAACATTGCTTATGTTATTCAGTCTGGCATCCCTGTGACAGGTTAATGTACCTTGCAATTCATGTTGAATTATCATTCACCTGTCAATTTTCACTCAACGGTCCCTAATGTTTTTTTGGCTGAAGTCCGAGGGCCGTCCACTTCCTTGGTGAATGAACGGTCCGTGGCCCCTACGGCAAGCTGGACCTGCCGCACGAATGGGATTCTTGGGTTAGTGGCAAATGCTAGTGACTTACCTGTTGTAAAGACAAGTGAAGAAATCCCTCATGTCAACGGGGCATTAAATCAACAATTTAGTGTCTGAAGACAGCGAGTTCCGATGCGACGGAATAATGGGAGTAAAAAAATTGGTATCATGACAGTGCAATTTCATACATTCAGGCCTCTTCGGGACAAGAGAGCAGTTTTTGTTTTAATATTTCATTTGTAAGCAGAAGGGATGATATGTCGGGTTTTTTTTGCTGCCAGTTCTTCGGAATAGACACGTATCAAGTGTGATCGATGTGAATTTGACAAGCGTCAACAAACACTTGGAACGAAGATAGACAACACTGCAGAAAATAGTGAATAAAACAACGAGAAGGGAAATATAGCATTGTCCTTCTCAACCTTAAATTCTATGCTGATCGTCCACTTATTCTGAAAAAAACTGTCCATACCAGCATCAATCTGTGTTAAATTTTTTTGTTCGCTAGCTGAATATAGGTATCACTACGGATTTAAGGTTCCCGATCATACTTATGAAACTATTTGTCACCTTTGAGCCACAGTAACGGCCTGTGGGATAAACGATTGTTTAGGATATGATTAATGATACACTGTACAAAAAATCTCTGATATTTCAACAGGAATAGCCTTGAAACCAAAGTTTTATAGATAGTAACACTTTAGCTGGGTAATTGTGGGAAAAGCTCATGCCACAATTTGAACAGGTTTCGGTGATGACCACAAATTAAGGTGTGCCGCCGTATACAATTAAACTTAGATTGATTTTGGTGAAAAGAGCTTGCGTCACATATTTGTCAGAGAATAATAAGCTGTCGGAAAGTGGTGTCTAGGCAGACATCCAAACTTACGAAAGCAAAAAATACCAGGGAGCTAAACTTTTGCCTAACGAAACCCCCCCACAAAAAATATTTTTGCTAATGCAATGTTTACCTTAAAAGTGTTATTTTGTGGCAATTTTGACCAACATGATTAGATTGCTTAAACAATCCTCGGAAGCGAAAAGAAGCTTCTAACATAGGGAGAGACTTTTTCTTCATACATTACCCTCTAATAGTCATCCGGACAACTGGGGTCTACAAAGCGAATTTTTTAGCTTACGAATGCGACCTTTGATCCAACTGATTGAATCTTACTACGTTTGCCTGGGAAGGACCTAGTCAGGACCAAGCGTAAGGTGGTTGCCTTTGCAACAGCAGCCACTTCTGGTTTAGATTTACCGCTTGCAAGACTACAAGCCATCGGCGATGGAGAAATTACCAAACTGGTTTCTAGAACTTAGCTGACCTTGAAGCATATTCTAAATCAAAACATTCGGATTCACGAAAACCCCTTTGCTTTAAAATGCCTTGACGCGAACAACAGAACGCTGCTAGTAAATAGAGATTTCTACACGTCAGAATTAATTCCAATTTGTTTCATCGGCTGTTTAGAGTAATTGAGTTTATTTGGACTGATTTAGTTTTGTAAAGACCCAAAAATGTATCGCTGGATCAAAGCTTTTTTCACACTGGAAAGTTACGTTCTTTGTAGCAGGTCCAATTGTTCTAATGACTGTGACGACAATCATTAGCATGTTATCTGCATCTTACAAAAAGGCGTGAAACCGAATTATCGTGACATATCATCAGCCCAGACAGTTTCAACTTAATCCTGAAATTAAATGACAGTTTCATGACAAACGCCATCAGTTTCTTCTCGAAAATTAGCTAAGTTTAGTCTATTTTCAGTCATATACATCATTAGCGGTTTATGTATACAGTATAATTCTTTTATATCTACGGTATTTCGCTGAATAAGGCAACGTCTTTGGACTTACCTAATCCATGGAAAGCGATGTTTCCTCGTTGTAACAGTTGTCTTAGTCGCTCTTCATCAGAATGTGCTCTCATATTTTGGAGAAAATATTCATCTCTCTGTTCTGAAAATTCTATGTGGGATTTGTCTGGGACCGTCCCGTCTCCAGAATGACCTACAGTCGAAGTATCCCTGAATCCAAAGTTGGGACTGGCTGATATCAGTCGTTGATAGATAAACGCCAGTTTCTGGAACCATTTGCTCTCCCAAGGTTCTGTTGGAATACTTTGCAATGTTTCGCTAATAGAAGTCCAAACTGCATTTGTCAAACGTTGTTTTAGGGTGACAATACTGTTTGTGTTTGATGTTGATCTCTGGTTTTCACCGAAAGCCAATAATCTTGTCAGTTTGCCCAAAGAAGTGGGATCACACTCTCCACGAAGCTCTTCAAATAATACCGGGTTTTTAAATTGTCCAAGATGTTCTGTTAAAATAGAAGCCATCCTTAAACAGGAAACGTTCATACACACAGACTGCACCGTTTCGTTTACCGACGAAATTTTCTGGTGGGGAAAATCAGTTGGCTTTATGATCTCTGCGGCAGAATCTTCAAAGATGCTTTTAGACTCTGTTCGACGCAACATTAATGCAACAACAAATATGATTGTACTGATTAAAAAGAGAAAAAATAAACAAATAATCAGCAACGCACGCTTTCGTTCGATAGGATGAGCAAATAACTGACAGAATTTCGAACAGCACTCACAGCGATACGTTTTTATGCTTTCAATCAAATAATCGACGCCTCTTGATGCACACACAGTTTGACTCTCACCATTTGCTGAATGCATTCCAATTTTTTGATTGGAAACTTGGATTTGATTAGCCCCACCTATAGGGACACTGGGTGGCACGCTACTGAAGGGTTTATATTTGGAATCACGCATTTTTTCAGTGTGATCCTCACGTTCCGCTGTGAGTGAATCCCGATGAGGCAATTCACAGTTCGAGGTTTTTGCCCCATCCTGTTCAAGTGCTGCACTTGACGGCCGGGCAAAAAACGATGGTCTACCCAGAACTCCCGTGTTGAGTAGTCCATTTTGAATTTGTGAGCTAGCCATCATCAAAGAGGGACCGGAGTAATCTGGTTGCATCGAACGTTCAGTGGACCTCTCTGGAATGCGTGAGTGTGACCTATTTCTCTCAATGTATTTCATGTTTGTCAATACAAATAATAAGAAGCCTCATGTGTTTCATCACAGCGTCGAAGAATCACCTTCATTGCAACGGTTTGGTATGTAATTCTCTCCCGCAGGGCACGCGTCATTTTAATCTCTCAGGCCAAATATTCCCATACTCACTAAAAGCAAACAAACTGAAAATCTCTGTGCTCTGATTCGCTAACAGAAGTTGATATTTTGATTGGCTGGCTTAACGGTTAGTGTCAACTCGCGCATTGGCACTGAAACATGTTTTGTCTAAAAGAGCTGAGCTCATGAATAAAAACAAAAAAAACGTGTACCTTCTTTAAGCCATTAAGGATGATAATTTTGCTTTCAGAACCCCTGTTATTGTAGTAAGTGGTATCCCGGATGGCCTTCAAAAACTATAGTGGAAACGGGACTAGAAAACATTTAATTGTAATTATGTAGGCGTTTGCAAAGAAAGGCATCCGAAGTACTTACAGATTTGAAGAACGAATGGACATTTTGATGTCTCATGCGGACCGGAAAATTGTGACAGAAAGAGGACAAACGCTTCATCATAGCTAACGTCGTTGGCTTTCATGAGATCTATTTTGTTCTTAGCAGTACTAGTTTTCGTGCACACAACAGAACTAAATACCTCGGGGGTTCTGTTGTCACAAGTCATTTATTATTAAGACGAAAAAACAATTCTATCACAGTTACATTGAATTGCCTTTAGAGGAGAAAACCCAACAGAGGCCGAACGAACGGCACGGAATTTCAACAAACCAGTGGCAGCTAAAATTATTCCCACTGCAGGTGACTGATATTGGAAATGGCCTTTGTCAAGGTCTGCTACACTTTCAGCGTTTATTGAGTAGTTACAAGACACACAAATTTACACAGATCAACATCTCCCTTCAAAAAAGTTTAAACGTTGTTGATGCTTAACACTCACTTCTCTACTGCTGGTAGAAAGTGTTTTGATGGAAAGTAAACAGACGGTTCATCCTGAATGAAACCAAAATATGATATCATCAGGCACCTTACTGTAATGCTGCGATGTGCACAAGAAAGCTGGGAAGGCCACCAATCGTTCAAGGTTGACCTTAGAGCTTAGATTTGTAACGCAGTTGATAATCGAAATGATTCGTAAACACATGAACAAAAACAAGGGGTTTGAAATCTTTGGATTGCAACAGATTTTAACTGCCATTAAGCTGTTGAAAGTCGTGTGTCGCGAACCTGAATGACAGGTCACTGACGTTTGTGTAGTGTGTTTGGTTCAGAAATGTTATAAACAAGAGATTCACATGAGTTTTACTTCGGTGTTCTGCTAGCAATGTCTTATTTTGAACCCAGAGCTCGACCTTAAAAATTCAAATGCTTTACAAATCATTCGCAAATCCAGCATTTTGTAAGCCACTTCTCGTGTTTTGCACCACTTTTCAAGTGTTTCCGAACTTCCATCTTCGAAAATATTGAAGTACAAACTTATTTCCACTGTGTTTAAAAAATACTGCTTGAGTCGTTCTCAAGTGTTTTCTACTGCCACAAAAATTCCCAAACGAGTAGACGTGAGTGAAGTGTAGTGTACATTAATGGTAATGCATGGGTAATGCGCATGCCTAAGAGGTTGAAACTGTGGCCGCGATTCTCCAGCAGTAGCCAAGCTAACTGCTTGTGGTTTCATTAAACAATAAAAACTTCTCCAGTGACTACGTGTCCTCAGTAGCAAGAGAACGCTGAAATCAGTTTGGCTGTTCATATGGTTGTTGCGATCGACAAGGACAGCGAGGATGAACCACTATTTTACTCTTCCCTTACGGCCACTTAAATGTTGCCATATCGGTACCTAGTTAATCAGATAAGTGAACACCAGCTGCTTTGGAAATGAAAGCCAACCAACGAATGCAACAAAATGAAAACAAAACGAGCAATGTGACGGGAAGTGTGATATCCAATGCGATTGTTGGTAATATAAAGTATAATAATTTCTCACCTAATAATAATGATGGCAATAATTAATTATTTCTCATTTATCTGCAGCTATTTTACAGGTATGTAAAATAAGCTAAATCGACCGAAAAACATCTTAGTTTGTCATGGATGTACTTTGATAATAAAACCGGTCATCGATTCGCTGTCAAATAAAACTGTCCACTTCGGTTTGACCTCGAAGGCATGTTTACCCAACAGGTGTAACAGGAACAGGATCAACTTAAGTTTGATTCTTGGTTGAATCAGAGAACAAAATTGGATATCTATCTATCTTAGGCAAATAATCTGTGTTGTAGGCCAAAATAACAGCAAGGGTGGTACACAAAAACTTCGGTTCGCGCAAATCCGGTTTGTGTTACTGGTGAACAAAGTATCCTTGATCAAATCAACCGCCGTAGTCCAATGTTGATAGGATCGGTGACAATGAATGCTCTGTCGATATTCACTCACACCCACTTGTCCATAAAAGGTGAACATTTATTATTCCAAGTAATCTTTTTAACCAGTCCTGTTGAAGCTTATTACGACGTGCTATCGACGCCGCTTGCCCCAAACTAGCAGGCAACCTGGAAAACAAAGGTACAAGACAAAAAATTTGTTTACTCAGTGGTTGTCTGAAAATCGAGCTAGAAAAACAAAAACATTCCCCTATCGTTTTGATATAAGCTAGCCTGAATTCTGTGTGTCACAAATTGCATTGAATCACCAAAGGTAACTTTTCTTAGGCAGTTTGATCGCCTCTTGTTCACGATGTAAATTAACACAAGCTGACCCACCGCGACCATGCCTAAAACATCTACATACACGCTCGACACAACTCTGAAATTTGGTCCCTTTGTTAACTATGACAAGCGATTACCTATCAGGCGTTATTGTACGTCACTTTGTCCTTCCCGACAATATCCCAGTAATTTAACCAAACCAAGCTTCTCTTTCCTATTTCCGTTCTCCTTAGTAACTTTGCGCGAAGCAGACAAGGCTTGAGGCAGCTACGGTCAAATTCGAAGCAATGATACACTGCGGAGCGCAAAAAATCACAGTCTCCCAATTTCTAGTAAAGAAACCGGACGGGTTTATGTGTGTTTGTAAAGACAGTTATCGACGATGCAAAAACCACAAACACGTTTAGACACAACTCCGCCAACCAGATTGTTGTCTCTAGTAGCCACATGGATGGTCTAGATGTAACAGTATGTAGCTTGGTTGAATTTACCGGTTGAACGTTGTCTGGTGGATATTCAAAATAAGTGGTATAAGGATCCACTTTTGCGTCTTCTTTGTCATTAGTAATCAGAACTGTTGCTATTGCTCCTGAGTTCTTATGGTATAATGCAATGGCATAAATTCACTTTTTGCGCAGGATCACAGTGCTTTTTAAATATTAGTTGTTGTGAAAGTCTGCGGGAGGTGGCAAAAATGCACACATTTGATTAGTTGGAAACACTTTAACATTCCCCTGAATTAATTTGCAGAATGTTCTAATCAACTAAATCAGGCGCACACCTGCACCCATGAATCTTTGCACTACACAGGAAGAACCGTTAGCATGCAGCTGCGATGAAGTTTATTAATTCATGTTGTCAGTGATAATGAGAATGCATTCAACCAAATACTGACGCCAGTCTAGTCACACTGTCTGGTCTGTTAAGTCTCTAATGAGGCTTAACGTGGTAACTAATGGTAAAGCAGTAAGTAGGCAGAGTCATTCCCTCCAGTAAACCCTGCGAAGCTGGCTACAAAATGCACCTACTGGAAGTAATTACTTGGAACTTCATCGTAACTTGTCACCAGACGTGGTAAAACCAACTTGAGTTCTATGGAAAACGAAACAATATAAAGTTAATTTTGAAGCATCAATTATGCTGCCGAAACGATCTCAAATTCATGTATCTGTAGGATTTCTCGCTTCCTATAACCCATAGTTACTTAGTAGTTGTATGGACCTAAACTCCGACGAATTTTTGGGCTTTGTCGATTGACACTCTCACTATTTTCATTTGTTTGTTCCTTTACCTATAGCTCTTGTTAGAGGGTAACTAACTAAAGGTGTTCTACGTAGGATACTCGCCGAAGAAAATTGTGAGTTGCACATCAACACATTAATATATGTCGTGCCGGGGCTCTTTTAAAACGTTTATTCTACCACTTTTTAGATTTTTTAACGATTGAGGTTGTTGACTGTGCCTAGATTTAATTACTCACCTATCAAGTGGGCTCAGTGTGTCTAAAAGATCCGACGATACTGCTTTTCAATTTTCCGAAGAGTGATTTCGAATGACTGTACAGTGTGGTGGCCACGGGAAAGGCAAGTGGAAACATCTTCCAGCTTGTATGGTTTGAACCATAATCAAGGCTTGCAACACGAGTTTGCACTGCCTGTCTGATTGCACTTACTCGAAGAAATCACAAAGCATTGGATAAAATGTGCTGCTCAAGTGTTAGGCCTTCATTCTTGTGAAGAATTTTCTGACAAAATACTGTAGTTAATATAACTGTATAGATACTCCCATACCTAGAAACTTTTCGATTGCCAAATAACCCTCTGATTATTGATTGCGACCAGGCGTTTAATCAGGTTTGGTTTGCTTGTAAATCAAACCAATATTCTGAACAACTTATTGTAAACAGATTCATAGCGTGCAGCATTTTTGTGCTTTTACTTCCGAAACTGTCCCCCACGAATTGCTGAAACGCCTGCATGCTATATTGGACACACTGGTAATACCAGGAATGGCAGCGAAAATAGATCGCCATGAGGCGGTGTATTGTTATCTAAGCTTTTCCAAAAGGATCCTTTGGTATTTCTCCCGTTTTCTTGCAGGGATACGCTACTCACAAATTTGATGAAAACTCTTGATCTTTTGTGACCGGTCTAAGGATACGCCGTCTTCCGGTTTTCGACAACCGTGTGATCCACTCGAATACCAACGAGCAAGATACGGTCATTTGCACGCTAATCTGGCTTC